AACCTAGATGATTCTATGATTCTATGATTCTATGAAATTACAACGCACCTAAACCCTGTTTGACTAACCAGTGCAGACTATTTTCCTGAGTATCTCAGGGAACAAAACCATTTAAACTAACCAGTCAAAAAAAGTTTACATCTCTAGGATGGTAACAATGCCTGCTTTATCCCAAAGAAGGAAAACCTCAGATTTTCAGTGGTGTTGGCCAGAAAAAGGACCAAAAAGCGAAAGAACAGGCTTTCTTTTGCAGATGGGTCAGGTAATAACCTAGGCTGTGTAGGTGAGACTAATGTGGGGGTTCTCTGTGTAAAGAGGGTTGATGACTACCAGGTTTTTTTCGATATTTGTAAGGGAAGGGAAGACTCATATGTGAGAATAAGAAACAACATCATCTATTGATGTAGGAAGCGTACTTACGGTCGGGCTCCACAGGACCTGGCAGCGGAACGCTGGTATACACAGCAGAAAATCCTCTGTAGGAGTTGGCATAGTCTGTAGACAGCACAACTGTCATAACATTTGAAGAAGATTCAAATGTCTTCTGAGTGCGACCACATACTTTTCCTATTAAGCCAGTGTTGGTAGTGAGGCCATTGTAGACTGCTGTGAAGTCAAACTGGCAGTTATGGTCTAGTTCCAGGCTGTAGGCAGAGAAAAAAAAATAATAACAGAGAAATCTGAGTATAGAGAATGTTGCTCGTACTGGCTAGAGGATCCAGTGCAGATAAAGTGTCTGATGAATTCCAGTTGACTGAAATAAAAGAATGGAGAATAAAAGAATACATAAATAGACATTAAAACCAAATAAAATATGGAAAACCCTCAAAGGCAAGAAATGCTTAATAAGAGTGTGCTTCTGCTCCCATTGAAATACCAAATGTTTTGCTATTGCTCTCAACAGAAGCTGGATCAGCTATGCTTTCATAGCTCTGATACTGTATATATTGATTGCTACTTATTTACTAAAAATAACCACACCTTCAAATTCACATTTTTTTACACACATATAAAAATAATCCTGTATCTTAAAGAGCTTTTAAAGTGTAGTATTGACTTACGCGGGTCTCTGAAACCTCTTGTGTGTGTCACCAGAGGAAGGCTTTTACCCTTTTTATCAATCTGCACGAGAGCTTATCTCAGTGCCTGCTGCCCTTGATGAAAAGCACCAGCTGTGCTGTGGTGGGTGGGTACCTCCAGAAGAACATCTCTGTTCCTGGATCCGCAGATGGACCCTGGCCAGGACTGCTGAGAAAATACACCACGCTCTGCAGAGTTCATCATTGCAGAGCGCAGTTGTCAAGGTAATGGTTTCCTATACAGTCCTACATTCGCTGTAGAATTCTTATACAGCATTCTGCAGTCTGAATATCTCAAGTTCTTGAAGATACTGCCCTTTGAATTCCCTTGGTCTTGAGACGTTCCTCTGTGCACAGTGTCGACTGATGCAGGGTAGGCCAAAACAGGGCTGCCAGCCCACTATGTATGGGAGACCAGCCCTGATGAAGAGCATTATGGGTCAGGAAAGCCCATGCCAGCGTGGTTTCCTTACTCCGATGCATCTATACTTGGAAGTACTTAAGCCAGTGCTATGCTATGGTCTTTGCCCAAGGGCCAGCAATGCTGAGGAAGACATACTTTGGGCGATACCTGCTGTATTCTTCTTTTGACCCTCAGTTCTAAACTGTGATTACAGTGGACGTGATGGTTGTAAACATGCTCCTTATGGATCAAAAGCTTTATTTATGCTGATGGATTTAAATTCAGATCATTCAGGCTAGCTTAAAATGGGGCTACACCTCGTGGCTAGTCACCTGCAACACTTCCTGTGTTTCACTGACTGGCACTGCAGTAGCTATAGGGTAATGTATGGTGATGCAGAACACCTTGCAATTACTTTATCATAAAGAGTCAGCAAAGCATGTTTGTTTTAAAAGTCTATAGATGTTCTGAAAGTTTGAAAGCACTTCTTGTGTTCAAAGTAATGCCTTTAAACAGAATGAGAAAAGAGTTATAGAGCATTAAGGCATTTACTCACAAAAAATCGTTGAACTGTAATTTTATCTTCGAGTTTTTTGCTGTTTGTATGTGCCAGACGCAATATGTAAATGCAGGGTAAGATGCTGGGTAATTGGGGCTGGTAAATGTCCCATTGGGACCAGTTAATTGTCCCCCGCAATTTTCAATTTCTGAAAAGAAGAGTAGATATATTGGTAACTTAATAATATATATAATGAGCCACAAAAAATAAAGACCTAACGTTAGGTAACTAGCAGGATTGTTTCTTTAGGATTCCATTCTTCTGGAAATTATTAAAGGTACTAAAGACAGAACTTCTATAGAGAATTTCAGGTCAGGTGGATGTTACAAAATGAAGCCTATTGTCACTGGTTTATCTGTGAGGCACAGTGTAATGGCATCTGGGATGGCTGTAGATGAGTTAGCTTTGATGCTGTGAGCAATTTAGTTATATCCACATTTTGGGTAAATTAGGTGCCATCTTGAAAAAGTGGTAATGAAGATGCTATACCAGCCAAAAGAAGGCCCAAGAGACTTTATATTAGAGAAATCTGTGAGGCCTTGGTCATGATCTATATGGAACAGCAAAATCTTCAGGTTTGAGACATATTTTACTTGATAGACAAAGGCAAAATAAAATTGCCAGTGGAAACCTTGGAGAGACAAATGTAGGCTAGAAATAGGGCACAATTTTTCAACAGCAAATTTAAGCACTGGAGCAGCAAAAACTAGAATGTGGCAACTCCTCTGTAAAATTGAAGCTTTTAAGCACTTAATACCATGCTACTGGGATCAGCAGAAGCAAAGGAACTGGTCACAAGCTAAGACTGATTTTGTCCAAGCTGTTGTTACCTTTTAAGGAAAAAAAAAAAAAAAAAAAGGAGCTTGTTGAATAAATAAAACCCCTTACTGACTTCTTTGCCCCTTACTGACTTCTTTGACCTGTACTCGGCAGGACTAGATGGTTGTTTTCTCTTTCTGGGTGCTATAATTATTATGCTATAATATTTGCAAACTGGGCAAATTTAGTAGAAGTCTAAGTAAAAGTAGGGTCCTGTAATGCTGCCTGTGCAATCACTTTTCTGAGTAAAATTGCACTTTTTAGGCTCTCCAGCAAGTGCACTATTGTTTTGCTGCCTTCTCCTTTCCACTGATTTTCTCCCACACCATTCTCTTAGGGCTGAAGAACTGTGTGAGACTAATTAAAGATTCTGTTAACAGTCTCTAATTTGTGTCCTAAACTTTCCCTTAATGGGAAAGTTTCTTTTAAATGGTGCAATTCAGATGGTATTTACTGGCTGCATTAAGTTCCGACTTACTTTTTTCTGGTGAAAAGTAGTAGTAGAAGACAAAGAAGTTCCGTGTGAAAGCCACAGAGTTTGTTGTTATGACAAAAGTTACGCTGTCTGAAGATGATTGAAATACTGGAACTGCATCAGTGTTGTAACATACTTGTCCAATAAGAGTCGAATTAGTTGAGGGACCATCATAGATTTTAATACTTTCTGTTTCACAGCTTGAGGAAGGAGCAAATCTAGTGAAAAAAGACAGTGAGAACTACCTAAGCTTGCTGAGACACATACAGGCTCTTTGGAGTCCACAACGCAGATTCAATACAGAGAAATATTTGGAGGCAATATTTTTGTGCTGTATTCTAATGGAACGAAACAGTACAAAAGCATCTGGAGGAAGAAATACTTACTGAAAATAGGAGAAAATGAGCCTAACTGTTAGATTTGCATTCCTCTGAATTTGCCAGGTGCAGTTTGCATTTGCATTTAGTTGAATCCTTAATGCTTTGTTGAGGTCATGAAATGAAGCACCACAGCGAGGTACGCCTACGGAAGAAGAGCAACAAAATCCCAGATTGCAAGGATATCTCTCAAGTTTTCTCTTGCAATAATGTTTCATCCTCCACTATGCAAAAACTGTGGGACAGTCCATCATGGAACAGGCATGCAAAATGTTGTACTTTTTTTTTTTAATTTATATTAGTGCAGTTTATGAAATAATCAAATAGTAAAAAAATATTAGAAAATACTTTTAATCTTCATTTTCCTGGTAGCAGAGAAAAGGGGAGTTAGGGTAACACATATCACAGATGAAGCCAATAACAGAACTGAAAATGCCAAGTGATGCAGGATGCCTCAGCAGCTCTCTTCGGCAAGGTTGGTCACCACAAGCACCTCAAACCTCCTGTCTTCCCCCTACACTGAGCTCCTAAAGATCATTGAATCCAGTTCTGAGGTTCAGCTCTTGACCAAAAAGCATTTGGGAACCTATGCTCGGGGAATCAAAAAGGCTGTTCAGATTTGAGCTTCTAAAGGACTACGTGTGGGATTTTTGTATATTTACTGCTGCGTACAATTCTCATCCTCCCTCTCTAAAAGGGTAGTGCTAAACAGCAAAAGCTTCAGAGAATGGCAACAAAGATGATCAAAAGTTTAGAATAGCTTCCAGATGAGGAATAAGTAAATGGACTGAAGCAATTCAGGTCAGAAAAGAGAACTAGGGGGGAAAGAAGGTGCTAGAGAGGTCTGTAAATTCACGAAGAGGGTTAATATGGGATATTCCCTTCCAATACAGTAACTCAGAGGCCTGAAGTGAAACCAGTATGTTGGGGGTTTGAAACAAAGAAAAGGAGCTGGCTCTTTGCACGTGGATCTTTGCTGCAGGGTGATGTGGATGGTAAAACTAAAACATAAACCAGGTCAAATCCATGAAAGAAAAAGCCTTTGGTAACTATTGAACACAAAGGTAGCGCTTCCTCTCTGTTTCAGAAGTCCTCAACCACGTTTGTCGGTGACTGGGGGAGTATTCTGGGGAAGTATTCTGCAGGCTCGTATCTGTATTTTTGCCTGAGCATCCTCTTTGGACTGTGACTGGGTTCAGGATGTGGGGCTAGCTGGACTTTGACTCAGTTCTCTTTTGAAAGAACACAAACCAACCACAGTTGGCATCACTAACATCGCGTAATGTAGTTGCGGTAATGGCCATTGTATAGGAAGCTTTAGAAAAACTTTATAATCCAGTTTGAGCATAAGATCTCCTTACTACTTTAATATTAATCTAAAAATAATGGTCTAAAACAGCAGGAAGAATTTCCTCTATCGCATATGCAGTCCCAGATAAAAAGGTCAGGCTTTCTGATGAACTCCAGGGGGAAAAGAAAGGTTTAGGAGAGACCTTTCTTGTCCCATACGAAACGTCCCAATTCTAAGAGCATTACAAGGTCGGCTTTGCCATACCCTCCCTCTGCATCCCTCTGGACTGTTGCGTAGCCAGGCACCGCTGGAGCAGCTCTGCGGCAGTACTTCATCGTCCTGCAGCAGCTGCCCACCGTTAATCAGGGAAGCTGCTGACCCAAGCACAGCATGGGGATCCCAAATGGAGCAACAGATGCCTATGTTGCTTCTGGTTGAGCAAAGGAAAAATGAGCAAATCTCTCTTAAAAAACCAACCCTTTCCCAATTAAGTCACTTTGTTCCCATTACTCCAATACAGTATTAATTTATAAATGCAAATTTCCATTCCAGAGTAAAATATCTTCAAAGTCAAGTTCTTAAGTTAAAAATTTGTCATAGGGAGTCGTATATTGCAATTGGTATTTTTTTGTTATTTACCATTTTTAACACTTGCTGGCACATTCAGGTGTTACTATTGTGCAGCAGTACATTAAAATAAGAGGCACTTTTAGAGATATATTTAACATTTTTCCCTTCAGTTGCCTGTAAAATACATATTGTGCAAAAAGTAATAAAATTTCACAGATGGGGAAAAAAAAAAAGACTAGATTTCCATACCCACGGGTTCTATTGAGTTGTCTTCAGCGAGAGCTAGAGCAGCTACAAGAGGCAGGAGGAGGAACTGTCTGAGCACCCACATTTTGCTGGCAGCTGGGGAGCTTAGGCTTTTCTAACTTTTATACCTCCTGCTATTTCATAATCACCTTGCGTTACACGGTATCACAGGGGGAGGGCTTAATCTCTCGGTGTTTCTTTTTAACAGATATAAATGTGAAAGTAACAGGTGTGCCCTTTGTTTTTTTAGCATGTACGGGATGGAGTAAGTTTAACTGTGCTTTTGTCAGCTCTCACAGGTTCAAAACACATTTTTCAGTTGATGTCACTGAGCGTCTGTTCGGATGCGTTGACGTGAGCATGAATGTTCTGGAAGGGATTGACAGACTCCCTTGGGAGATGCGTTCAGCAGTTTGCTCTTAGCACTGCTCAGCAGGAGCTTGGTTTCTCCCACCTTCATTTTGACACCTATCCCTTTAGGTTATACTGGGCAAATCATTCCCTGTCCTTGCTGTGGATTCCTCAGGTTGTGAAGTGCGACTATGTAATAGAGTTGTCAGGAGTAATAATTTCCTATTGCTGAAAGATTCATGGATGACCAAGGCCAGATTCATGTAAGTCACAGATTTAAGAGAAGATTGCACTGCGACCACTTTGCAGGTAGAACTTTTAGTCCCGCAGTAGAAGCTACAAAAAAGAAAAAGGAATCGGCATTTCCTTCCCCAGCTAAGGAGACAAGCACAGTCCCAAGAGCCTCGATTCCTTCGAGCATGAGCCTAATGAGTATCTGGCCCAATATATTATTTCATAGAAGCATAGAATCTTTTAGGTTGGAAAATACCTTTAAGATCATCCAGTCCAACCATTAACCTACACTACCAAGTCCACACTAAAGCAATCAAGGGTAGACTAGACTAAACCATGTCCCAAAGTGCCACATCTTCCCGGTTTTTGAACTCTTCCAGGGATGGGGACTCCATCTTTACATCTTATGCTACTTTGTCTTTCCATAAGGACCAAAGCTCTTGAAATATGGAGTATTTCAAGAAATATGGAAGTACTCTTGGAGTATTTCCTACCGC